TCCCACAGGGCAGATTGGACACTGGGGACAAACCCTCCATGTCCCATGGGGAATATGGGACATTGGGGACTCATCACATCCTTCAGAACATACAGGACACTGGGGACTCTCCATGTCCCACAGGCCATATGGGGCACCTGGGCATCAGGGACCTGCCACCCATCACATCCCACAGGGTTTACAGAGTGCTGGGGACCACCCCAAACCTGCTCTCAGGATTTCCAGGGCCCCCCACCCTCCCTGAGCCCCCAGCAGAGGTGGCAGGTCCCCACTCACAGCTGCTCCTGCAGCTCCAGGATGACACCCTCCAGCTCCCTCTTCTCCAGCTGGTTCTGCACCATCACCTCCTCCAGCCGCAGCTTCAGCCGCTTGTTCTCTGCCTCCAGGTCCTTCAGCTGTGACTCTCTCAGCCTCACCAGCTCCTCCAGGTACCCCTGCATGAGGCCACCATCAGCAGTGCCCTGCTGCCACCTCTGCACCCCACAATGTCCCCAGGGCCACCCAGGACGACAACAAGAGTGCTGTGTCACCACAGCAGTGGGATGAAGGGCTGCAGGTACCACTGGGCTGTGGGAGTGGGGATGCAGTTTCAACCTGGAGCATCCCAGGAGGGTTGATACCTTGATGATCCCATCCCAGCTCCTGGTACCTTTTGGGCATAAACAATGCGGAATTTCTGCTCCATCTTGCGCCACTTGTTGTACCAGCTGTCCTCATCCGTGACCAGGGGCAGGTAGGGGTGTTCAGGTGAGCTGTCCTCACTTGTGCTGCTCTCCACGCTGCCCCGCTCCTCCTCCTCGCTCAGGTAGTCATAGCTGGGGGGTACAGGGAGCTGTCACACATGGGGGGAGCCCCATCGTGGTGCCAGGGGAGAGACAGTCAGGTCCCCACCCCAGGGAGCACACCCTGGCTCTTACCTCTGTGTGAACTTCAGGTAGGGCGTGTAGTCAATGACCACAGGTGTTTTACCATCCATCACCTCACCCTTCAGGCAGAAGCTGAGCAGTGGCAGCAGGAGAAGGAGCAGAGAGTCAGGGCCCCTCAAGGGGAGTCAGTCAGGGCAGGGTGCCCACGTCCCACCAGGTCACCCACCCCTACCTGAAGTCAATGGCGCTGAGCCCGATGAGCATCCCGGTGAGCACCGTGGACTCCTCGCGCAGCATGATGGCTCCGTCGTCGTAGAACCTCCTGCGGGGAAACGCAGCTGGATGTGCTCCCTGACACCCCAGAGCCCACCCTGGCACACAGAGCCCACCCTGTGTGCCCACACACGGCTCGTGGGGCCGTGGGCTGCTCACCTGGTGGTCCGTGTGTCCCGCAGAGCAGTGGAGATGTACTCGGACATGCGTTTCTCCATCAGCGCCACGCGGATCCAGGCCCGGCCCTGCAAGGCAGTGCCCAGGCAGCCCTGAGGATGGGGCTGCCATCAGGTGCCCCCACAGCTGCCCCCAGACACACCCCCAGGGCTCTGGGCAGCAGCAGACAGAGGGTCCCCACCTGGGAGCTGCTTTTGGCCCTGTTACTTGGTCCCGCAGGGACCCACAGCTCCTGTTGTGACCCAATGACCCCATGGGGTGGGATGGGGCTGCAGGAGGGCAGGGAGAGGGGACCAGAGAGGGGATGGGAATGGGGATGAGGATAAGATGGGATGGGTTGGAATGGAATGGGAATGGGGATGGGATGTGATAAGGATGGAGATGGGAATAGGATGGGGATGGGATTGCGATAGGATGAGGATGGAGACACAAGGAGGATGTGGATGGGTCCATGTACCATGGACAGGTTGTGAATGGAAACAGGGGCAAGAATAGGAATGGGAATGGGGACAGGTTAAAGATAGGGACAGGGCTGGGGCTGGCACCCTCCTGACCTTGGCTCTGGAGGTGCTGATGTTCTCCATGTTCTCGATGCTGCTGACGCAGTTGTTGGGGACCTTGCTGCAGGCCAGGCGGATGTAGTCCCAAAACCCACGCTGCCCATCGGAGCTGAACCAGCTGACAGGGCCTGTGGGCACCAAGGGGCTGTCACCAGGGGCTGCTGTGCCAGCAAAACCCTTGCCAGATGCCACCAGATGCCACGATGGGGCACAGCGACAGGGACAGGGACACCCCCATGGGCCACCGTTACCTTTGAAGCGGTGGCTGAGGATCTGCTCGAGGATGGCAGCGAAGTTAACGAACTCCTCAGAGGAGTCATCGATGGGGTCTGCCGTGTACTTCTCCAGGAGGGTCTTCACTGAGAACCTGGCAAGGAGATGTGTGTCACGGGTGGGAGGGACAGACACCCACACCCAACACCATGTGAGGTGTTATAGACCGGAGCAAAACGTTTTTCCAGCCGTTGGCTCCGGCGCCGGCAGCGGGAGGAGGGCGGTGGGGAGGGCTGTGGCTCACTGACCCCCGTGTCCCCAGGGACCCCGAGGGGCAGCCACCGCTCCCTGCTGTGCGAGTGGCCAGGAAGGGCGAACAAAGGCCTCTTCCTCCTCGGCCGTGCGCGGGCGGTGATGGTTTCCCCTTCCTCCCTGCTGCTCGTGCTCGCAGCGATGCCGAGGACACGGAACCTGCCCAGCCCTGCAGGACACGGGGGGGAACACCCCCTTGTGTGGGTCATGGCCATGTGTGGGGAGGGTGAGCCTGGGGATCCTTGTAAAGGCAGTTGGAGGGTGTCTCATCGTGGCAGTGGGTCTGGAGGTCCCCTGTGCCATGGTAAAGAGGTGCAAGGGATCTGGAGATTCAGAGGGTCCCCATGTCATGGCAGGGGGTCTGGAGGTGTCCTGTGCCATGGTAAGGAGATCCAGAGGGTCCCCATGTCATGGCAGGGGGTCTGGACGTGTCCTGTGCCATAACAAGGAAATCCAGGGGCTCCCCATGTCATGATGTGGGGTCTGGAGGTGTTCTGTGCCATGGCAAGGAGATCCAGGGGCTCCCCATGTCATGACAGGGGGTCTGGA